GTTAACCTCATCCTTCATACATCGATCTGCTGATATGTCAACTCCCAAATATCTGAAAACGTGCACTTCTTCCATGCTCCTCCTCTCCAATTTGATATCCAATTTTTCTTTATCTAAATCATTTGATACCCTCACCACCTTACTCTTTTCTATGTTTACTTTCAACTTTCTACCTTTACACACTCTATATATATGTACATATAAATATGAATTTGGTAGGGTGTGCAAAAGAAGAGAATTAAAAGTGAATACAGGAAAGAGTAAGGTTATGAGGATAACAAAAATATTAGGTGATGAAAGATTGGATATCAGATTGGAGGGAGAGAGTATGGAGGAAGTGAATGTATTCAGATAATTTGGGAGTGGACGTGTCAACGGATGGGTCTATGAAGGATGAGGTGAATCATAGAATTGATGAGGGGAAAAAGGTGAGTGGTGCACTTAGGAGTCTGTGGAGACAAAGAACTTTGTCCTTGGAGGCAAAGAGGGGAATGTATGAGAGTATAGTTTTACCAACACTCTTATATGGGTGTGAAGCATGGGTGATGAATGTTGCAGCGAGGAGGAGGCTGGAGGCAGTGGAGATGTCATGTCTGAGGGCAATGTGTGGTGTGAATATAATGCAGAGAATTCGTAGTTTGGAAGTTAGGAGGAGGTGCGGGATTACCAAAACTGTTGTCCAGAGGGCTGAGGAAGGGTTGTTGAGGTGTTCGGACATGTAGAGAGAATGGAGCGAAACAGAATGACTTCAAGAGTGTATCAGTCTGTAGTGGAAGGAAGGCGGGGTAGGGGTCAGCCTAGGAAAGGTTGGAGGGAGGGGGTAAAGGAGGTTTTGTGTGCGAGGGGCTTGGACTTCCAGTAGGCGTGCGTGAGCGTGTTTGATAGGAGTGAATGGAGACGAATGGTTTTTAATACTTGACGTGCTGTTGGAGTGTGAGCAAAGTAACATTTATGAAGGGGTTCAGGGAAACCGGCAGGCCGGACTTGAGTCCTGGAGATGGGAAGTACAGTGCCTGCACTCTGAAGGAGGGGTGTTAATGTTGCAGTTTAAAAACTGTAGTGTAAAGCACCCTTCTGGCAAGACAGTGATGGAGTGAATGATGGTGAAAGTTTTTCTTTTTCGGGCCACCCTGCCTTGGTGGGAATCGGCCAGTGTGATAATAAAATATAAAATAAATATAATATACATGCATGTTGTAAGAGGCGACTAAAAATGCCAGGAACAAGGGGCTAGTAACCCCTTCTGTATATATTACTAAGTGTAAAAGGAGAAACTTTCGTTTTTCCTTTTGGGCCACCCTGCCTCGGTGGGACACGGCCGATGTGTAGAAAGAAATAAAGAAATAAATATATATGGTAGACAGCAACCACCGCCCAGGGAGGTACAACCATCCTGCCAAGTGAGTGTAAAACGAAAGCCTGTAATTGTTTTACATCATGGTAGGATTGCTGGTGATTTTTTCTCTCTCATAAACATACAAGATTGAATTCAGGTACGTCTTGTTACTTCCACTTTTACTCATGTCACACTACACGTGCATGTACAAGCATTTATATACACACCCCTCTGAGTTTTCTTCTATTTTCTTACAAGTTCTTGTTCTTGTTTATTTCCTCTTATCTCCATGGGGAAGTGGAACAGATTTCTTCCTCCGTGAGCTATGTGTGTCGTAAGAGGTGACTAAAATGCCAGGAGCAAGGGGCTAGTAACCCCTTCTGTATGTATTACTAAATCTAAAAGGAGAAACTTTTGTTTTTCCTTCTGGGTCACCCTGCCCTGGTGGGATATGGCCAGTTTGTTGAGAGATGATATACAAATAAATTGGAGGTAGTAGGATGGTAGACAGCAACTGCCCAGGGACATACTACCATCCTGCCAAGTGAGTGTAGGACAGAAGCCTGTAATTGTTTTACATGATGGTAGGATTGCTGATGACTTTTTCTGTCACATAAACATGAAAGATTGAATTTAGATACATCTTGCTACTTCTACTTACACTTAGGTCACACTACACATGTATGTACAGGCATATACAGTGCTAGTCACAGCTTATGCTGGGTGATCACCCTGGCATAATGCCGTGACGAAAATCAAAGGCCTACTATACAGGAAGGCCTTTTTTCGTCAGTGCATTATGCCAGGTAGTAGCCGTTAGCATAACATCACGGCCTGCCACCACACTCCACAGTGACTCCTCAGTGCTCACGTAGCTTCCATGATGAGAGGAAGTGTTGCACTTTTGCCTCTCATCCGCCCCATCCTTTGTCCGGTGTTCCCCTTGGTTTTGGGGCTATACATGTTTGATTATGGGTAAAAGGAGGTCTTTAACACCTGAAACTATAGCACAAATCATAGGGCTTCACAAAGCTGGGCATCAGACAAAAGAAACAGTGGAGAATATTGGTGTGTGTGAATGCTCAGTAAGAAACGCTGGTGGCAGTGTCGAGTTACCGTCTGCCAAACCTCTGCCTGGCCCCTCGACGAAGACATCTGTTCGTACCTTAACTGTGTTAACCTCTGACTGTTTCGGTCGTATATATATGTCTTATGAGCCACCGTGTTTGACGTATATATACAGTCAAAAATTCTAGCGGCTTCAAATCAAGCAGGAGAAAACTGGTAGTCCCACATGTGAGAGAATTTGTCTGTGTGATCAGTGTGCACCATATAAAAAAAATCCTGCAGCATGCAGTGCATAATGAGAAAAAAAAACTCCGATCGCTTTTTTGGGGGGGGGGATTAAAATGCTGACTGTATGGTGTATTTTCGTATAGTATTTATGGTTGTATTCTCGTTTTCTTGGTCTCATTAGGTAGAATGAAAAACATATTATAGAAATAGAGTGATTCTGATTGGTTTTACTATGAAAAGAACCTTGAAATGGAGCTCAAATTAGGGAAAATGTTTGATTTTTGCCGATGTTCAAGAGTAAACAAATGATGTCATTGTCCAATAAATGTCCAACTAGCCATTCTAATATGCAGTCACGAATAGGTTGACATTATTTATATAATTATTACAATATTACAGTAGTCTGCATAATAGTAAATCTTCTGTTTTTTGTTTGAATAAAAATTCAAAATAGAAAGCAAGAGTAATATCAGAGGGGCCTGGAGATGTGACTGATGAACAAAGAAAATGTTATTTTAGAGCCAGGAATGTCTGCATTGTTCATTCTGGACCCTATTTTGAAATTGGCATATTTTTTAATTTGCATGAAATTGGCCAAATTGCAAAAGTCTGACCACATTTTTGGTAGTTGAAATCGGTAAATGGGCAGTTTCTTGTACTCAATCGATAGAACAAATGGAGTTCTAAAGAAATAGTATGAGTTTGGTCAACTGGAACAATGGAATTAGCTGAAAATAGGGCTCAAGGTGGGCAAAATCGCAGATTCGTAAATGTCGCAGAGGTCGCTAACTTCATGACAGTGTAATTCCATAAGTTTTCCATCAAATTTCGTTCTTTTGATGTCATTACCATCAGGAAAAGATTCTCTATCATTTTTTTTTTTTTTCGAAAAATTTTCAACACCAGGAGACACCTCAGGATTTGGGGTTTTGACAGTCAAGGGGTTAAAGCAGCAGTTAGAGAGTACACCTAAGATAATTGCTAGAGAACTGAAAGAAGAGAACCCACTTCTTCTCTAAGAGGTGTCTGTAAGAACTGTTAACAGACATGTGTAAGAACCGGGCTACAGTAGTCACCGCCATGTTAAGAAACCAATCCTCTCCAAGCCACAGAAGAAACATAGGCTGGATCATGCAAAGAAATATCTTCACTGGAATCCTCAACAGTGGTCTGAAATACTTCAGAGTGATGAAGCAACCTTCACCGTCACCTGTAACCATGGGGGACATATGTACCAGCCAGAGGTAGTAACTCGCTAGACCCACGCTACACCTGTGGGACCACCAAACACCCAAACTCGCTCATGGTTTGGGGAGTGTTTCAGTGCTCAGAGTGTTGGTGAACTTATTGTGCTTTCCAAAAACCAGTATATGAACCAGTATAATTACCTGGAGTTATTGTGTGACGGTTTACCTGAGGTGTTTGACAAGTGTGGGGCTACGGTTTTTATGCAGGATGGTGCACCGTGTCATACCACCAAATCTGTAGTTCAGCGGCTTAAGGACTGTGAAGTGAGGTTCTTTAATGACTGGCTAGGCAATTTCCCAGACCTAAACCCTATTGAGAACCTTTGGTCAATAGTGAAACGAAGTTTACTGGGCAAGGATATCAGTTCCATCCCACGGCTGGAGGCATGGAATAATATACCTCCCCCAAACCCTCAATAATTTGTGAGTCTTCCTACATGGCTGAGGGACATGATTAACCATAAAGGGTGCAGCACCAAGTATTAAAACCTCAGTGTGCAAATATATATATTTTAATCTTTCAAGGTATGTGTCTGTGTTTTGGTACGTGTGTGGGGGAGGGGCAGCATAGTGCCATGACTAGCACTGTACATACATACCCCTCTGGGTTTTCTTCTATTTTCTCATTAGTCCTTTTTCTTTTTTTGTTTATTTCTACTTATCTCCATGGGGAAGTGGAACAGAATTCTTCCTCCATAAGCCATGGGTGTCGTAGGAGGCGACTAAAATGCCGGGAGTAAGGGGCTAGTAACCCCTTCTTCTGTATATATTACTGAAGTTAAAAAGAGAAGCTTTTGGTTTACTTTTTGGCCCACCCTGCCTCGGTAGGTTATGGTCAGTGTGTTCATAGAAAAGAAATACAAATATATTTGATACAATGGGGTAACCATGTAATGTGAGAAGTAACTGCACCATCACCTAGAAGTCCCCATTACCTGAGTAGTTTCCAAAATATGTACTGCTTATAAAAAATATAACTTTTGGGACTCTATTTACCAGTCAAATAGAAGTACATATTTTGGAAAATACTCAGATAATGGGCACTTATTAGATGGTAGTGCAATTACTCCCTCATGTGGTGCAACTGCCCCACTGAATAGTACTGAACAACTATTACTAACCTTGTCATTGTATAAAACATCTGAACGATCAACAATATTAGTCTTGGTAACAGGAACTGATTCTCCGGTAAGCATGGACTCATTAACGATACAGTTGCCCTTGAGGAGAACAGCATCACATTGCATCATGCATCCTTGAGGTGGTATCATCATCAAGTCACCAGGAACAAGATGTTCTGATGGGATAGTGTCTACCTGGTCATTATCTCTCACCACCTGAGGAGAGTATAATATTAACAGTACTCTAATGACTGCATCACTGAACAACAGTACTCTAAATTATAACAGTAATGACTGCATCACTATGACCAATATTACTTACTATAAATACAGTAAGGAATTTTTTATTAAAAACAGCAGAAAACAAGTAAGACCAACCTCAAGGAAACTGCCTTTCAATAAAAGATTAACAGAACTTGAAATAGTTAAAGTTCTGGGTTAGAACTACAAAGTTACTTATAAATATAACACCAAGACATTTGTTTGGGTAGCAAATGTGATCCCTACAAAATCATTAATTTTGAGTCATCACTGACATGCTCATTAGTGTACATAAACACTTGACCATCTAACAGCAGTAATTCCCCATCAACACATGCATTAACTCTTTGAAGGTGGGTCTGGTTGTTCTACAGCTTTGAAGCCAGGGTCAGTCCTGTAATATTATGCCATGAGCTCAGCTCACTCAGATAGCTGTGAGCAATAACTTTAGGCCTAGATATAAGAGAATGGGTCTCTGCAGTAAGTGTGCACCATATAAAAAAAAATTCTTACAGCAAGCAATGCATAATGGGAAAAAACTACAACTGTGTTTCTGGTTTAAAATAGCAACTTTTTGATGTATGTTCATGTGGCATGCAAAGAGTACGTAACCTTTATTCGGCGCATGTACACACCCTTTTACAGGCTATCTCCCCCCAACCAGCGAACCAGGTTGCTAAGAGTGATGATGGGGCCCCGTCGTTCAACTAGTGACCAGGTTCTAGCCAATAAGAAGATGGCTTTGGCAATCGCAGAGGTTATGTGGGTACCGCTCTCCTGTCTGCAATTGTCATTCCCATTCTAGAGCTGGTTGAAGCACGGTTCTGCTATTTTGTGGCTTCTATTCTGCCTTGCTACTGTGGAGTGCACTATACTTATCACTGTACATAGTGTACATATTGCTGTTCAAAATTGGTGAAGGATAATATAAGTCTAAACTTTTCTGCTGTGTTTATTTTGCTCCCTTTTACACCCGGATAACAGGACATTTGGATTCCTGGGTTGTAATATGGGAGCCTGTCCGAGAGCTGGAGCGGACTTAGAGAAACGGTTGAGCTTAGGGTGAAGCTCATAAACAGGAACATTGTGCAGCTTGCTGTCTGGCTTTGCATTAGCTTTGCCTACGCTTTATAAATTTTGCATGTCAGTTAGTGTTATTGTGTGATCGTTCAACAGCTCGCTACTAGCTTGTTCGGTGTGCTCGCTTCGCTACGGTAATCTTTCTAGAACAGTGTAGCTGTCTGGCATTTCTTTACAAATTTGCGTGTCAGTTGTTACTAGCCTGTTCGGTGTGGAGAATTTTGCAGTCAGCTTTGCTTGTATGCGTATTCTGCAATCGTACTGTGCATAGCTAAGCGTGTTCTGCAAATTAACGTGTTACGTTGGGGTATTCTGCAATCGTACTGTGCATAGCGAATAACTTATGCCACCTAGATGAGTCAGACGTCTGGTGTCGGCATATACTTTGCATAACCTACCTAAATTGTCCCTACAGCGTTGTTGGCAAATTATCGTTCCATTGGCATTAAATACAAACGCACTCTCACAGCTGTGCAACTGGGTTTACTGATTGCTGACAAACTTATAGAAGAAAAGATGGCACATCAGAACTCCTCCCTCTACGGGAGCTATTGCAAAACTACAATGTTCTCGGGGGAAGATGATACACCTATGGAGCAAAATGGTCAGTATAGTGCAGCGGGTTGTCTCAGGGGGAATCAGCGTCGTTTGGCACTTGAGCTGGCAAAAATCTCTTGAGCAAATAGGGAACAGAGAGCATTCGCAAGGAAGAATTTGATAGGGAAAGAGAAAGGAGGCAGTTTTCACATTCGTAATTGATTTTAGTTTACAAAAAGCAGTACACTTGTTCCCCGCTTCAATGAGGCCGAACCAGAAAAAATTTCGAAAGCTTCGAAAATTTGGCTCGAGCCTTGAGGTGGCCGGAACAGCATTGGGCATCATGGTTCATACAGCATTATTGGGTAAGGCACAGGAATTTACGTCAGTATTAAATGACGCTGAATTTTCTGATTATCAAGTAGTGAAGACCACAGGGGGGGGTTTTACAAGGGAGGATTGCTGTGATTTTTCTTCCATAAACATAAAATTGAATTTAGTACTCTTCCACTTTACTTACATTTAGTCACACTACACATTATTTTCCATTTCAAATACTTGCTTTTTACCCTTTTTCCCTGGGTAAAATTCCCCCTGGCATATGTGTGCGTAAAAAGGGACTACAATGCCAGGAGCAAGGGCCTAGTACCCCTTCTGTATGTATTACTAAATTAAAGGAGAAACTTTGTTTTTAGGCTCTGGTCACCACCTGCCCTGTGGATATGGCCAGTGTTGAAGTAGATAATCAAATAATTGGAGGTAGTAGGATGGTAGACCTAACTGCCCAGGACACTACCATCCTTTGCCAAGTGAGTGTAGACAGAGCCTGTAGTTGTATACATGATGTAGATTAGTGATGACTTTTCTTTCACATAACATGAAAGATTGAATTAGACATCTGCTACTTCACTACACTTAGGTCACACTACACATGTAGTACAGGCATATACAGTGCTAGTCACAGTATGGTGATCACCTGGCATAATCCGTGAGAAATCAAAGCCTACTTCAGGAAGCCTGTTTTTCGTCATGCTTATGCCAGGTAGTAGCCGTTACATAACATCAGGCCTGCCACCCCGACCACATGACTCCTCAGTCTCACGTACTTCCATGATGAAGAAGTTTGACTTTTGCCTCTATACTCCCATTCTTTGTCCGTGTTCCCCTTGTTTTGGGGTATATCAGTTAGATTATGGGTAAAAAGGAGGGTCTTGTAACACCTGAACATTAGCACAAATCTAGGGCTTCACAAAGCTGGGCCATCATACAAAAGAAACCGTGAGAAATTGGTGTGTGAGAATGCTCAGTAAGAAAAAACGCTGGTGGCAGTGTCCGAGTTTACGTCTGCCAAACTCTGCTGACCCCTGTACGAAGATTGTATCGTACCTTAACTGTGTTAACCTCTGACTGTTTCGGTCGTATTATAGAATGTCTTATTGAGCCACCGTGTTTGACGTATATAACGTCAAATTCTAGCCTTCAAACAAGCAGAGAAAACTGGTAGTCCCACATGTGAGGAATTTTGTCTGTGTGATCAGTGTGCACCATCATAATAAAAAATCCTGCAGCATGCAGTCACAATGAGAAAAACAAACTCCGATCGCTTTTGGGGGGATTAAAAGCTGACTGTATGTTATTTTCGTATAAGTATTTATGGTTGTATCTCTTTTCTTGGTTCATAGGTAAATGAAAAACATATTATAGAAAAGAGTATTCTGATTGGTTTTACTATGAAAAGAACCTGAAATGGAAGCTCAAATTAGGGAAAATGTTTGATTTTTGAGCCGATGTTCAAGGTAAACAAATATGTCATTGTCAATAATGTCCACACCATCTAATATGCAGTCCGAAATAGTGTATACATTATTTATATATTAGTACAATATTAAGTAGTCTGCATAATAGTAAAGTCTTCTTTTTTTTGGTTTGAATAAAATTCAAATAGAAAGCAAGAGTAATATCAGGGGCCTGGATATGTGATGATGAACAAAGAAAAGGTTATTTTAAGCAGAAATGTCTGCATTGTTCATTCTGACCCTATTTTGAAATTGGCATATTTTTAATTGCATGAAATGGCCAAATTGCAAAAGTCTGACCACATTGGTATTGAAATCGTAATGGGCAGTTTCTTGTACCAACTCGATGAACAAATGGAGTTCTAAAGAAATGTTAAGTTGGTCAATTGAACATTGGAATTAGCGAAATGGCTCAGGTGGGCAAAATCGCTGATTCGTAAATTCGCAGATGGTCGCTACTTCATGACAGTGTTTCCATAAGTTTTCCATCAAATTTCGTTCTTTTGATGTCATTACCATCAGGAAAAGAGTTCTCTATCATTTTTTTTTTTTTTTTCGAAAATTTCAACACCAGGAGACACCTCAGGATTTTGGGGTTTTGACAGTCAAGGGGTAAAGCAGCAGTTAGAGAGTACACCTAAGATAATGCTAGAGAACTGAAAGAAGAGAACCCACTTCTTCTCTAAGAGGTGTCTGTAAGAACGTAACAACATGTGTAAGAACCGGGCTACAGTAGTCACCGCCATGTTAAGAAACCAATCCATCTCAAGCCACAGAGAAAACATAGGCTGATCATGCAAAGAAATATCTTCACTGGAATCCTCAACAGTGGTCTGAAATACTTCAGAGTGATGAAGCAACCTTCACCGTCACCTGTAACCATGGGGGACATATGTTACCAGCCAGAGGTAGTAACTCGCTAGACCCACGCTACACCTGTGGGACCACCAAACACCCAAACTCGCTCATGGTTTGGGAGTGTTTCAGTGCTCAGAGTGTTGGTGAACTTATTGTGCTTTCCCAAAACCAGTATTGAACCAGTATAATTACCTGGAGTTATTGTGTGACGGTTTACCTGAGGTGTTTGACAAGTTGGGGGCTACGGTTTTTATGCAGGATGGTGCACCGTGTCATACCACCAAATCTGTAGTTCAGCGCTTAAGGACTGTGAAGTGAGTTCTTTAATGACTGGCTAGGCAATTTCCCAGACCTAAACCCTATTGAGAACCTCTGGTCAATAGTGAAACGAAGTTTACTGGCAAGGATATCAGTTCCATCCCACGGCTGGAGGCATGGAATAATATACCTCCCCCAAACCCTCAAGAATTTGTGAGTCTTCCTACATGGCTGAGGGACATGATTAACCATAAGGGTGCAGCACCAAGTATTAAAACCTCATGTGCAAATATATATATTTTAATCTTTCAAGGTATGTGTCTGTGTTTGGTACTGTGTGGGGGAGGGGCAGCATAGTGCCATGACTAGCACTGTACATACCATACCCCTCTGGGTTTTCTCTATTTTCTCATTAGTCCTTTTCTT